AACAAATGTACTATTTCTTTTTTACATGGTGTTACATATATGCTCATTAGTTTCTTTACTACTGTGTTATATTTTCATTATAATAACGGTTGTTGCATACTTAGTTATTTTTCTTTTTTAAGATATATGTAGTCTCACTTTATCTGCCACTATATGCTGGTTATAATTAATGCTGAATTTCCTGTTGCGCGGACAAATAAATGAATTCTGATCTGAAATTCTGAATACTTGCTTTCCAGCACTGCACCTCATTATGTTATTGTGTATGCATAAAAATTGCAGGTGCCACATGCTCTTGGCCGTTGGTGTTTGCTGATAACAGTTCAATAAAGTCAGTGGGATTTGAACCGTGAGTCAGGCGGAGCGCTCAGGTCGCCTTGGCATTGAGCGGACACCGACGGGGGGGGGGGGGGGAGGGGAGCTCTAACTATCTGCTGAAGCTCTCAGTAAAAAAATAAGAGGAAGCCGAGGGAAGGCAAACAAAGACGCAGCCCAACGGCTCTCTCACCACACTGCCAGGAAACCGGGTTGGGTTCAGAAAGAGGGGGAGGGGAGGCAGAAGGAGACCAAAACCCAGCAGGTGCTGTAATGTGTCAGCATGGCCTCTGCAGAAACATACAGTGAATTTTTAACAAGGTTACACCGATGTTGATTTATCTTTCACCTTGCCGAGCAGAGCTTTTTGTCCGCCCAACCGTGAGCTTTGGCAGAGACTCTGCATTTAATATCATTTGCTCCCAAAAACTCCACATTCACTCATATAAATGATGGAAATTTGTCAGTGGGACAGATTTTCAAACAGAGGTCACTCAAGTATCAGCTTAGAGGGGGAAATTAGTAGAGAATTATGCTCTAATATGATTTCCAATTCAAGTTTCACTTCGTCTTCTGCTCTCTTTATCGGGGTTGCCATTACACGAGTCAGTCAAGATGTCAGTTTTATCCAGAGGACGGACTGTACAGATGTTTTTGGAGAGTTTAAATTGGAAATACCCTTAATGTTGTTTTTCCCCTACATGACTAACCTGATAGAAATAACCCAATGCTAGCTGCTAGCCTCATGTTACTTGAAAAACAAAATAATTTACATTTTCACATAAGAGGCAACTTGTTGATATTAGCCTGGAAAACAAATGGTAGGTTGCTTTTGTTGAGATAGCAATCTAACATGATGTAATCTTAGCCCTGTGTTTTAGGACAAAGGTCCTTGAGTGTAGTTAAGTTTGTCAGGTCAAGAGATCTTAATTCAAAGTTTTAGGTGTGAAACAAACTCCCATTGGCTTTCAGTTGCATGACTACGGTTTTCCATGTGGCATCTGGTGTTTTAAATAACAAAAAACATGTGGCCGACCTAGCAAGAAAGGTACAAGCTAATAGTGTGAAAGGGTGACAAAAATGTTAATTGTTTTTGCCAAAGGTGTGAAATGTTTCATAAAAACACGTTAAGCCGGTACGTTCTGATTCCAGTGTGGTTGTTAACACATTGAGAGAATTGCAAATATTGTTCAGTCCCGTTATAGAGCGAAAAAACTAAACACATTGTGGACGGCTAGCTGCTAGCTTCACCTCCAAAACCGACTGAAGTGTCCTTGAGCAAGGCACTGAACCCTTGACTACTCTAAGGACCATAGCAACCCCCTTCGTTTTGACGCCTCTTCATAAATTGCCTGGGTTTGTGTTTTTCGGCCCTAAAGTCTTAAGGTCCTGTTTTCATGCATGTGTGTGTTTGTAGAGTGAAAACTGAATGTCATCAAGTATGTGTTCTTCTTTATACTTTTTCAATAGGAGCCAAGCTGTAATGGTCATTCAAGTTGTATTCATAGCACAATATCACAAATAACACATTAGTCTCAGGAGGTTTTACAGTGCGACACCTTCTGTCTTTAGAAAACTCCCATGAAACCCCACAATTAACAGAAGAAAGGTTATTAACTTCAGGGAGACGTGCAATCGATGTCATGTGTAGATGAAAAAGATAATAAATGTACAACATAAACAGTCCAAATGTTAGAAAAATATCTTGTGTCTTGATGTCAAAAGAAAAAGATGGATCCACGTGGATGTCATCTATCTTTCAGATGCCACCAAAAAAAAAAATATCAGTCAGTTCTGAGCTACACTGAAAAAACTGAAAAGTTGACTATAATTAAATGTATTATGTCAACAGATTTCACAGAACTGTATTAGTATAATTGAAAGCAACAATATTAAGTTGAACCTATTGTTTTATATTTAAACGTAATATTATTACTTTCAACTAACCTAATACAATTATCTGTTAACATAATACATTTAATTAAAGTCAACGTTTCAAATTTGTTGGTGTTTTGTGAGGTGATAGGAAACACTGGGCTCCGTCTATCACATGACCAATCTTATCATCCACCATGAAAGTGAAGTAATTTGCTCTAACAATGGGGGACATGGGTGAGGAGCTGCTGTTGGAGAGGTGTTTCCCTCCTTTCACTCCTCCCCCTCCTACTCCCCCTCCTCCTCCCCCGCTCCACGTGCTCATCTGGATGGGTAAGAGCATGGCTTCTTCAAACACGTGCTTCATGCCACCCTGCACCCCCCCCCACCACCAGCTCCCTCGCTATCAGCCTGTTTTCCTTTTGTCCAACCCTTCTTGCTCTGTGATTAACTGAAGCCTGGGAGCAATGTGGAAAGTAACCATATGCTTCCTTTTTACTGGGGACACTTTGGGGACATGTCTCCGTCACTTTTGGAAATGGCCAATGTTGTCCTCTCCACTTTGCATTAGGATAATCGGTTACACTTTATATTAAGGTACACATATTCACCATCAACTAGTTGTTAATTAACATGCATATTAGCAGTATATTGGCTCTTTATTAGTCAGTATTAAACACTTATTAGTGCTTTATTCTATATGACCAGACTCAGAGTTCCCTATTTTAAAGTGAAGTCTTGTTCATAACACATAAGCTATAGTTTGACCCTAATATGTTGATTAACAACTAGTTGATGGTGAGTAAGTGTACCTTAATATAAAGTGTTACCGGATAATCTGTTGAAAATGTTCTGAAAATAGCATGCACAGAGAATTGTACACTTTGAGAAAGCTTTATCTGCACAAGAGAACATGTAAAATCTGGAGTTTTTCCTGGTTGTTTACTCGAGTACCAGATCTGAGTATTTCTTTCACCTCGGGAGACATGTGATCTATGCTGGATACCAAGAACTCCAGGCAGCCGGTGTTTTTGCAAGAGGAAGAAGAAAAGGGAAAACAATCTTACACAAGTGGTGGGCTATCAGGTCATTCAGTGCGACCTGAGAACATCGAAAACTCTGCCAGAAGATACTGAATACACTGTACAGGGATGAGTCAAGTTAAATATTTAAGTACACTACAAAGTACAGGACGATCACTCCCTCGGGCTTGGAAAGTTGACACAGTTAGAGCTGAAGATGCATCTCATTGGACAACTCAGTTTGCATTTAAACATGTGGTGTTCATGATTAGGTTTAAAAATAATTGTATTTACTTGGGGGGAGATAAAACAATACATGTTTGGTGTTGCAATAAAGAAATGCATGAGAGATTGGAGAGAGAAATCCGAGGGTTTTTTACTTTCTTTTAAGATGATTTCTGAATTACCAGCATTAAAGGGGACCTATCATGCAAAATGCACTTTTTGATGTCTTTTATACATAAAGATGTGTCCCCGGTGTGTCAGGGAACTCACGCAGCGTCAGAAAATAAAACCCTCCTCTCTTTTCCTCCGTACCCAAATCTCTAAAAACGGGGGAACAACGGAGCTGATCCAGATTTGAGTCCGATATGACGTAATATCGTAAATTGTAGGCTGGGCTTTTACCCACGGCACTATCAGAAACGTTGCTATCAGAAACAATGCCCGACTGTTTTGGACGTAATTATTGGTCGGTGGTTTT